TGGTGTAGTGCTGTAGGAACTCCTGATATGAAAGGGAAGGGTCGATTATTAGAGATTCTTCGGGTTGTAACACTGGGTAACAGATGTAAAATGAAGTGTCAAACTTTTTCTTTGAATCAACTGAAACTAACATGCATTTTACTCAATACAGAAATAGCTGAAAAAAGATTATTTGAGTAAAATTGCCCGGAATTGTAGYGTTGGTGTTTAATAACGGATACTAATGCCTCGACAGTGTCTTTTGACTTTGACAAAACCTGATACTTGAGAAAYGTCAGTATTTAATACTGGGGAAATTTTATCGATAATTTAATTCCGGGATTTTTCCGGAATTTGAGGCTTTCTATTCCTGTTTTTCTTTATAATTTTGATTTTTGAAATGTAAAGCAAACTCTCTGCATCCTTTATCTTTTCTTAACGGCAAWATCTCCGATAACATGCGTGTAACTGTACCAAGGCCAAAGGAATTACTCTGTATTTTCGGGGTTTAAGTTATCAGTAAAACCTGGGCTCTAGCATGCTCTGTTCACACACCCTCAAACACTCATTCACTCACAAGCACATGCACGGCTGCAACGTGAACGTAATCTCCCTAACGATATGTCCCAATTTCGGYCTCTCTCACAAAATCCAAATCTGGGCAGGGGCCGTGGGAATCATTTTCCGTCTGACCATGGGCTAGCTCTGGTCTTAAAAAAAAAACTTGCAAAGACAAGGGGTGGGGGGCGGAATACCGCAGCTAAAAGAAATTCGATTGTTGAAATGTAATGTAAATTGTGTATATCTTTGCATATGTCTCCGCTGGCGCTTGTGTTTGTGTATTAAACAGTCACACAGGCGCAGAGACCAACTCTGCAACAGGGACGCTGCCTATATTTAGTTACCTCCCGCTCGCTCGCAGGGTAATAAAACAGGAAACCACGTAGATTTGCCCCCCGCCCTGCGCACATGCACACACACACAGATACACTCAGGTAGAAACCAGTGACACTTCCCCAGGAGGAGAAACAGCAGAAGATTCCGGGGCACAGGCAGCCCCCCCGGCAGTGCAGCACCTGCCCAGCYTCCCAGGGGCTCCCGGGAGCAGGGGCCAAAGGTGGCCCGAGGTTAAGGGCCTCTCCCCGGCAGGCTTCGGCAGGCTTTTTTCCGCTCCGCTTCTCCTGTCAGTGGGATGGCGACGCGCCCCGAGGGAGGCCCCGGGCCGGGACCACAGGGAATCCTTTCCAGCGGCTCTGCCGGGTCTGCAGCCCCAAACCGCCGGAGCAGCCGCTCCGCTGGGACKGCTCCGAAAACAAGGACAGGGGAGCGCCTACGGATGGCCGGAAAGCCAAACCCCCSCGGCCTCTGGAGATCCAGGGTGCTGCCAGTAGTGGCTCCATAGAGCAGCCTGGCATTTCCCGAGGTGCTGGGAAAAAAAAAGGGCACGTCTTTCTGTCCCGGCCGCATAATCGGAGATATTATCTCTCCCAGACTCTCTGAAAGCCGCAAGAAAGTGGACTGTTCCTTCGCGTTGYCCGCTGCTGCGGAGAATAACATGTTTAACTGGGGAGCAAGGTGAACCAGGGGGTAAATGACAGGTTCCCCAGCCGGCTGTCACGGTGCTCAGTGCSGGGACACCGCCCCTCTCCGGGACAGGCAGCGGAGGGACGGGGTGGGCCGGCAGGCTCTGCCCGGGGCTTCGGGCCCCTCTAGGATTGCTGCCCGCGGGAATCCCGCACCGCTCCGCGGCCGGGCAGCCGCACTAACCCGCACCGGGGCGGCTATGCACGGCGGCTGGCCGCTTGCTTGCCGAAGGACCGCGGGAGAGGGCGGACTCTCACCCGCAGGTGGGGCTTGTCCCTTTCCTAGAACATATTTAATATTTGGTGCGTGTTTTTTSTTTTGTTTTGGGTTTTGTTCCTTGGGTTTTTTCGGAAGGGATGGAGCGGAGAGAGAGGGAGTYCACACCCGGGACGGCCCGGGAGGGGAGTGTCGCGGTGCCTGGGGCAGGCCAGGGACGAGGGCTGCCCTCCTCCACCCACAGCCGCAAACACCTCCCTGGTTCCCTCCTAGACAGGTCCTACGGCCCACAGAGGAAAGCCCTGGCAGAAGATGAGGGATTTGACTCCTCGGTTCGAGRCCCTTGGGGTGGCTGAAGGACCATCCCCGGCTCTTTACCCGGTAATTCCCCAGCCCCGTTGCGCTGTTACAAAGCCGCTAGACGTGTTAGCCATCCCAAGTGATGCTGGCGATTGTCGGGGTGATCTTGAAAAACATTTGAGCGGGGAGTGGTGGCTGCAGAGCAGCAGGTTAAGCTCTTTTGGGGTTTTCAGGTGCTCCCGTGGCTTCTTGCCTAAAATCTGACTCCGTAGTAAAGAGGTCACGGCTTGGGCTCCCCAAGGACATTGAAAGCAACCAGCAACATATCCTCTGCTGAAACAAAAACTGAGCCAGGGAAGTCTCTTCTGTCCCGCAGCAGTGGCTTGGCGCTGGTAGAGACAGAAAGTGACACAGAAGGTGACTCGCAGGGACTACCTGCTGTCTCCGAAGAGGTGCAAGTTGCCACCAGAACCGGGAAACGGTATCCTTCCCATCAGAGTAGGGACACAACTATTAATAATAATTTWAAAAAAATAGGTTAAAAATGCTCGTAAGTATTTCAAACAGTTTTTTCTTTATTTAAAAAAAATAAAAAGGAGAAAAGAAAAGAAGYGTGGGAGCTTGGAAGGCCACAAGCAGTCTTTTCATGCACGGCAGATTGACGAGCAAAATAGTGCTTCCACGCCGAACAAGAATGGTAGAAAATCMTAAAACTAATGGAAAGGCAAAGACGGGTCTGATTTTCGGCTTTCCGAGTCTGGCGGGTGCCAGCTTGCRAGCAGGGGCGCCGGCGGCCGGACASAAGGGCGGCCGGGGGATGACCGCCAGGGACAGGAGCCGCTGCTCGGGGGAAGCCCGGGTTACGGCGTTGTTTCCTAAATTGCTCTGTGGGGAAAGCAAATCCTGCAGGCGGTGACGGCTCTGAAAAACATCTC